GGATTCAGTCTTTAGATTTTAGGGAATAAGTGTACATGGAAGAGAGGAGGTGTGAGGCCTGCACCCTCGGGCCTTCAGTGTTTTGGGTTAAATGCAAATAATTGCCTATAAATGTACTGAATACATATGAAGGTAGGCCCTGACATACAGTAAACACTCAGCAAATGATAGTTGTTATTTTTACAGTGTTTTTAACTCTTCAAAGCCAGTTCTGCTCAGGTGTTCAGAATAAAAGAAATCAGAGCCAGGGGGGTCCACAGGCAATCTCTCTTCTCCTCTTCCTAGTGTACAGATTGGGGAACTGAGACCCAGAGAGGGGGAGGCACTTCCCTGGGATCATACAATGTGTCAGAATTGCAGGTTTCATGATGACAGTGGTGGCTAATTTCCACTTTACAGGTGAGTAAACTGAGACTTAGAGTTAGTCACTTGCCCAGATCTACCCAGTGAGGCCATAGAAGTCAGAGAAAAAATTTCAATATCCTGATTTCCAGAGAAGTGTTTGAAACAACAGCAGCCGCAGTGACAGCAGGTGCCATTATGGGCTGATGTGCCCATGTTGTCCTAGGAACTGCTGAACACTTCACACAGGCTGGCGAGGATGGAAGCTGGGGCCTGGGACCAGACAGATAAAACCCAAACAACTCATCTTGCCCATTTTAACAACATGCTTCTCTTGGTTCGTTGACGTCCCCGTCTCCCCAGCGCCCTGCTTAGGTGCCTTGGCCAGAAGTTGTTTTGCTGTTGGCCAGCTGTGTTGTCCTCTCCCCCATCTCCTTGAAACTCCCTTTCTGCAATATGATTTACTGTAAAAAAAAAAAAAAGTAATATAATGTCAGGAAAAGGCATTTAAAGAAAATCACGCTAAACCTTGCCATCCTAGCCCAGTTTTTCTGTCTTCTTCGAATCTCTGCCCATATGCCTACAGTACACAGCTTTATACTCTTGTCCTTGGGATGGAGAAAGCATTCTGTACTCTGCTTCCTCTGCTTTGTGGTTTTCCAAGTGTTGTGTTGTTTATAATTATGTTTACTGGCTTATAGAAGCCCCTGGAGTGCCTCCATATTGCTGGACTATGATGTTTCCAGATCCTTATTATTATAAGTAATACTATCTTGAAAACCTTAGTGCTTATGCAATTTTCCACCCCCTAAGTAATTTCTGGAAGATAGGCAGGAGTGGGTTAAGAAAGGGTTTTAACATATATTGCTTTAAAAAATGGTTGTACTAATTTATACTTCCACTGGTATCTTAGCCTTAGTGCACACATATTTGTTTCTTAATTACGAGAGGCTGGGAGGTCTGGCTTACATCATTGCCTGTGACTCTGCCACTTGCTCTTCAAAGCTGGTGCAGCTATCTCCATTTTTCAGTCAAGGAAGCTGACGTTCAAAGGGAACAAAGCAACTTGCCTAAAGTCACAGAACTAATGAGAGGTGGAGAAAGGATTTGCACTTTGGAGGGCCCATCGGATTTGAACTTTGGAGCATCCGACCCCGTTCCAAAGACCCTTCCAGGAGAAACAGTTGAATGGTTCGGGGTTATTGCATGCTATTAGATCATTAAAATCAACACATTTTGGTGCAATTTAACAGGTGTTCAGTGTGAGCCTCCTTGTTTTCGTGAGCATTTGACTTTTGATCTCTCAGTGGCCTGCAGCCCAGTGGAATTTAGAGGGGTGGGGCTTCAAGGCCCCCATTTTCTGTTTGCCAGTGTGTGTTGGCAGCTGAAGAGAGTATGTCTGGGTGCCAGATGGTTTTTGGAAACAGAGAGACTCATGAATTCACACCCCTCAATCAACATATCAGTCTGTCGTCAACAAACTATTTGAGCCCCTGGATCTGCCCAGATTTGATCAGGGTTGGGGGAGAAGAGGAAAGTGAGCTTTCTTTTCAAAGACTCTTCAATCCAGTGAGGTAGATGGGGGCTAACATGGCTTGAGGGAGTGAGGTACCCAAGTATGAAGGTGGAGGTTTCACCTTCCAGGTTAGAGGTCTGTTATTTTATGCCATGCAAAGTGGGTTTTACCAAAACCAGAGTAGGTTGCCAGTATTTAAAAACCTGGAGAAAAAAAACAAAAAACAAAAAAAACCTGGAGGTTTCACATAAAATCTGAATTTTTGGCTTCTCTTAAAAAACTGGAGGATCTCGGGGCGCCTGGCTGGCTCAGTCCGTGGAGTTTGCGACTCTTGATCTCCAGGCTGTGGGTTTGAGCCTCAGTAGTTGGTGTAGAGATAACTTAAAAATAGAATCTTTAAAAACAAAAGAAAAGGAGGGTCTGGCCATCCTGAATCTATAGTCTTTCATGGGAACATTGCCTGGAGCTGAGTAGCAGCTGTCCCTTTTGGATAGGACATTTACTGTCCTGTTTGTCATAGTCCCAGCCCAGCCTGTGTCACCAGTTTACCTGCAACTTTTCATGCCGTTCTCTAAATGCTATGTGAGAGGACAAAAGAAGAAGTGCACGTTGGCCAAACCTGCAGGGATGAAAAGGGCTCATGTCCCTCGGGGCGGGGATGTGAGCAGTGCTGCAGGGAACAAATAAAGCAATGGCACTTGGCTCCCTAGACACCCTGGGGCAGCCAGGATCAGAGCCTGGATGTCAGGGAATAAAGCAATGATCTCTGAACAAGGTGGCAGAGTGAGGTGCACACAAAATCTCCTTCCACTTCAAACACCTAAGAACGTGGGTTAAGACAAAATCACAAAGAAAAACAGGGGGAAAAACTCTATGGGCTAGAGGTGGGAGAGGAAACATGGTGAGTGGGCTTGCAACCAGCAGCCCTCGGGATTGCAGTGAGCAGTGGGACTGGACCTTAGTGTTCTTGTCGGGTAGGAATTGGGTCTGCCTCACTTGTGGGGAGAAGGGAGCCAGATTCTGCAAGAAGTCAAGTGGTGGGCCCCTAGCAGGTGCTGAAATATCTCTTTGGTGCCTGATAGGTATCTGGGGAATGACACTTGCCCATAGCTTGGGGAAGAAAGCAAAGCTCTGGTGGAAACAGAACTTCGTGTTGTGCTGTACTTGGGCTGGCATCGAGAGCTGTGTTGCTCATATACTCCCGAGTCCAGAGCAGTCTGGGCCCGTGTTTCCCTTTGTGTCTCCTTTGTAAAGAGCATCGTGAGCAAATGAATCATGTAAAAATGATAAGAAGGTCATACTTAACCATCTTGAGAGGCCAAACAGCAGTTCTTTCTCATCTGTTCTCTAAAGCGTGTCGTGAGAGACTCTAACTGAGGACGCTTCGCAGGTGCTCGTGGAACTTCAGGGTAATGAAACTGCATCTCATGGAGTTAGGGTGCAAGAAAGAGAAGATTGTCAGTAATTTTGGCTTCTTCAATCATTTCCTAGATGAGGAAATTGAGGCCCAGAGATTTAAGATCACGCAGCTGGTCAGTGCAGGTGTAGGACTAGTGCTGAGCATCTGGGCTCCATCCTGCCTTTGCCTCAGAAGCCTTGGGTTCTCTCTTTTTATAAGTGACTTTGCAGATTCATCAGGAGGCTGTAGAGCCCAGTCATGTGCTCCTCCCTCATGTTGGGGGAGCTATCCTTCCTGAAGCATTGGTGTGATTTTTTTTTTTTTTTTTTTGGACAGTGACTTCCTCACAGGAAGGCAGGTAGTGGTGGTTAAGAGCATGGACTTTGGAGGCAACCTGTCTAAGTTTGTATCCCAGCTTCTCTACTTGACTATCTGTGTGACTGACTATGGGCAAGTTACTTAATCTCTCTGTGTCTCCATTTCTACATCTATATGGCATGGACACCTGGGTGGCTCAGTGGTTGAGTGTGTCTGCCTTTGGCTCAGAGCATGATCGTGGAGTCCCGGGATCGAGTCCCACAACAGGCTTCCTGCATGGAGCCTGCTTCTCCCACTGCCTATGTCTCTGCCTCTCTCTCTCTGTCTCTCATGAATAAATAAATAAAATCTTAAAAAAAAAAAAAGGGCTAATCATGGCACCTATATACTGGCTTACGGAGTGGATTCAATGGATAAAGCATTTTAAAGCCTCTAGAACAATGCCTGGCACATACAAAGCCCCCCGTACATGTTAACTGCCATTATTATTGTTATTATTTTAAAGGTTTATGTATTTATTTGAGAGAGAGGGAGGGAATGTGTGTAGTGGGGGAGGGGCAGAGGGAGAGAGAGAATCTCAAACAGATTCCTCCCTGAGAATGGAGCTGGACTTGGGGCTCCGTCTCATGACCCTGGGATCACAACCTGAGCTGAAATCAAGAGTCAGACCCTTAACTGACTGTACTACCCAGGTCCCTCCTGTCATTATTATCATCACCTTTCTATAACAGATTGTATTTCCCTTTTTGCTTGGGCAGCCAGGCAACAGACTGCCCAATCTGAACCTTATCTTTAGACCTACATGGGACCTAATGGCACACATTTCTGTTCCTTATTGTTCTCTGGCATTATTTAATTACTTGGCTGTCATTTCACCCATCATCTTGATTTCTCCGTGTTATTATTGTATGGTATATATTATTATAAGCTGTTTTAGAACAAGTTTGGAATTAATAAATTAAAATACAGCATTTGGTCATTTCAGACTGTCCTGATGACCTCCAGGATGATCTTGAAATAGGCAGTGAATTGTGTTATTAAAAAAAATTGTAGCTAACATTTTTGAGGGCCTGTTGTGTGCTAGCCATCATCAAACATGCTTTGCACACATTACCTTTAACTTCACAACCATCATACGAGGTAGTGCATATTATCCCATTTTGTGGGTGGGGAAACTAAGGCTCGAGAGGCAAAGGTACTCAGCCAGTGGTTGCCAGTGGCAAGTGGCAGAGCTGGAATTCAGGTGTAGCCCCGCCTGATTCCAGCACATACTTCTACTCCCTGCACAACATTCTAGGTGGTCTCTTTAACTCTTGAGGACAAAGGATGGATGATTTCAGCAGCTGACTAATATTTTTTCTCCCTTCCCACTTCTTCTCTTCCTATTTCCTCTACCTTTTTCTCTCTGCTTCCTGGGTTCCCCAGAACCCATGAGGGCCCCCAAAGGCCTGGCTTTCGCTGAGATCCAGGCCCGCCAGCTGACTCTTCAGTGGGAGCCTCTGGGCTACAACGTGACACGTTGCCACACATATGCGGTGTCCCTGTGCTATCATTATACACTGGGCAGCAGCCACAACCAAACCATCCGGGAATGTGTGAAGATGGAGCAGGGAGTCAGCCGCTACACCATCAAGAACCTTCTGCCCTACCGGAATGTTCACGTGCGGCTCATCCTCACTAACCCTGAGGGGCGCAAGGAGGGCAAGGAGGTCACTTTCCAGACAGATGAAGATGGTAAGAGTCCTAGCCCTGGTTCCCGGCATATTCAGTGCCTCCCACAAACACCCTGAAGTATGAAAATTTTTTTTAAAAAATTATTTATTTTTTGAGAGAGAGTGGTGGGGAGAGAGACAGAGAGAGAGAGAGCGCGCGCGCGAGCGAGTGAGCATGGGGTTGGGGAGGGGCGGATGGAGAGGCAGAGAGGAAATCTCAAGCCAACTTTCCACTCAGAGTGCAAGCCAGGACTTGATCTCACAACCCCAAGATCACCACCTGAGCTAAAATCAAGAGTCTGATGCCTAACCGACTGAGCCACCCAGGCGTCCCGAGGCTAAAATTTTTATAGGAAGTTTTTTTGCTTACGATTAAAACAACTATAACAACAAAGTAATGATGGCTAGTATTTTTTTTTTTAAGATTTTATTTATTTATTCATGAGAGACACACAGAAAGAGAGGCCGGAACATAGGTAGAGGGAGAAGCAGGCTCTCCTGCTCCCAAGGAGCCCGATGTGGGACTCAATCCTGGATCCTAGGATCACGCCCTGAGCCAGAGACAGATGCTCAACCTCTGAGCCACTCAGGTGTCCCTGATGGGTAGTATTTATTCTCAGGAAGACTTTGGGTTAGATTGGTATATTTTTTCCTTATATGTTTGAAAGAATTCAGCAATGAAGGCATTTGGGCCTGGATTTTTCTTTGTGGCAATGTTTTTTAACCACAGTTTTACTTTCTAAAATAGATATCAGAATATTAAGATTTTCTACTCTAGTATCTATTTGGTATACTGGGCTTTAAGGAATTTTTAATTTCACTTAAATTGTCATATTTCTTGACATAAAGTTGGTTATAATATCTGATTATATTTATTTAATTTCTGTAGGATCAGTAGTGTGTGTCCCCTTTTTCTTTCCTGATTTTGGTAATCTGTGTTTTCTCATTGTTTTCTTGCTAGGGGTGTATACATTTTTAATCTTCCCAAAGAGCCAACTTTTGGCTTAGTTGATTTACTTAATTGTATATTCATTTTCTATTCTGTATTTCCTTTTTTATACTTTCTTTAGATTTGACCAGCTGTTCTTTTAGCTTTATGAGATGAAAGCTTATGAGATCATTGATTTTGAGACTTTCTTCATTTGTTATATATACATTCAAAGCTATAAATTTCCCCCGAAGCCCTGCTGTAGCTGCATCCCATGGGTTTTCATATGTTCTGCCTTTGTTATTATTCAGTTCAAAATATTTTCTAATTTCTGTTGTGATTTCTTCTTTGACTCAGGAGTTAGAATTACATTGCCTGATTTTTAAGACTTCCATAATTATCTGTTTGTGATTGATTTCCAGCTTAATTCTTCTGTGGTCAGAGTACATACTCTAATTTTGGTCTTTTGAAATTTGATCCTTGTTTTACGGCCTAGCACATGGTTAAATTTTGGTAAATATTCCATGTGTATCTGAAAAAAATGTGTGTTCTGTCATTGTCAGGTGCAGTGCTCTATTTAAGCACTTATTACATGTTAAGCACTATTGTGAATGCTTTTTATATAGTATTAATGCGTGTAATCCCCATGACAACCCTAGATGGTAGGCGACTGTTTACTATTGCCATTTTAGGTGAGGTCACATAGCTAGGAGGTAGGTAGCAGAACTGGATTTCAGACCTGGCTATCTGCTTCAGAGTTTTTATTCTTAACAGGAGTGCTATAATGCCAGCACAGATCCACAGCCTTCCCCCACATTCCTGCAAACCTGCAGGTACCCGAAACTCCTTGGTTGATTATTTTTCTTGACTCCCTACATGTGGTCTTTTCTGTTCTGCATAGCAGTGGCCCAGACAGAAAATTCAGCTCCTTCCTTGATTTCCACAAAGCACCCCCCCCCCCCCCCCGCCATTTACCCTGGAACATTGCAAATGCAGAGAAGACAAAACTTAACTTTTTTCTTTCTACTTAGGCTCATTGGTTTGGGCCCTATAAATTAGCCTGAGAAAAGACATTAACAAGAGAAAAACAGATAGGAATTTATTACCATGTGCATCACACACACACACACTTGGGAGTACTTATTGATGAGTACCTCAAAGGAGTGGCTAGAGCTTGGGCTTATGTAGTGTTTTAATGAATTTGTTGAGAAGCAACATGATGGGAAAAGGACTTTGAGACTCTAGGGACAGCAGATAATGTGAAGGCAAATATATGGGAAAACCATTGGTAGGTAAGGGCTAGTTCGGAAAGTTTATGTAGATTCTTCTGGGCTGCTTAGGGTCTAGAGTTGTCTCAGTGTTTCTCTCCTTCCTGGTAGCGAGGAGAGGGTGGCACTTTTACAAATTTATGTCCTGCTTTTTGGCAAATGGGTAGGGCAGAGAACTTTTCTTGTATCTGCTTCTTCTTGATTTAGCTCAAAATAATCCTTATGCCAAAGTGGTATATTTTGAGGTGGCCTGTTTTACTACCCTTCACAATGAGCCTCAAGTTCAACATCAGACCCTTCCATTGTTAAAATCTGTTGACCTCTGTCTGCCCTTCCCCCTGCCTACCAGATATGTTGTGGCTGCTTTACCCTGCTCTTACCAGGCAGGCCTCACTTGAGCTGCATGGCCTTTTTTCTCTGTCCCCCCTCCCTCCCTCCAATAACTGCTCATTACTTAATATTTGTTACTTTCCATTGAAGTATTAGTATAATACTTCTAGGAAATGTACTTACCTCAAGTGGACAGCTCAGTGAATTCTCACAGACTGGACCCACCAGAATAACCCACACACAGATCACAAAATCGCATTCACAGCTCCCCAGAAGCCCCTTGTACGTACCTTCCCACTTACAACCTCCCAAGGGTAACCATTATCCCAGCCTGTAATGCAGTAGATTAATTTCTGCTTGGTTTTGAACCTTATAGCAATGGAGTGAGTCATACAATGTGTATTCTTTTTCTGACTGGTTTCTTTACCTTGACTGTGCTTGAGAGAGCCAGCCATGTTGTGTAGACAGCTTAGGGAATTCATTCTTATTACTGAATAATCCATTATATGAATATACCACATTTATTGACCCTATTTTAAGTTGTGCTATAAAGAAAAATCTTTGTAGATTATTTTTTTTGGCAGTGGGGTTGTGCAGATACACACATTGCTGATTGGTTAATGCTCAGGAGTGGAACGGCTAGGTTATAGGATGTGTAGGTATATCCAGATAGTTTTCCTCAAGTGCTCATGCCAGTTTGCATGCTCTGTTGCAGTGTGTGAAAATTGCAGTTGCTCTGAATCCTCACCAACACTTGGAATTGTCTTTTTCATTTTATCAATTTGGTGGTTGGATAGTGGAGTTGCCTTGTTAGCTGTTCATTTTAACCCAGAGCATATTAGCTGCAATGATGGTTACCTTGGGTTCTGCTTTCTGCTACCTTAGGAATTTGGCTTCCCCCCCAGTAGTTGATCAAGGCATTTCCCCAAAGACCATTCTCTTCCCAGAAGAAATTCTCGTGACTGCTCTTAAGATGGTACATTAGAACAAAACCAAACAAAACCAGAAACCTGAAAGCATTTGTGCTAAAATGTTAATGGTGTCTCTGGGTGATGGAGTTGTAGATGCCATTAATTTTCTTTATGCTCATTTTGATTTTCTACATTGAACATACTTTTTGTGTAATCAGAAGTTTTTAGACAAGAAAACCTTTCCTACCCATAATTCCACCACTCTAATGCAATTGTTTCCATTTCCCTGGCAGAGGTCTATATTTTCTGAAATCCACTCAACTGGAACAAAATAGGAACATTCAGACGTTCTCTGCTGAATGCAACCTGCACAGTAATGAAAATGCCAACTACCCCTTTTGAGTTCCTAGGAATAGGTGGAATCAAATGAAGTTCTGGTTATTTACCTTGGGGCTTTATGTACATCACATCATTTGATTCTGGTGAGGGAGGGCTTGTTTTCATCTCCATGTCCCAGAAGAAGAAGAAACTGAGGCTCAGAGAGGGTGAGTAGTCAGTCCAAGCAAAGGCTGGAATCTGAATTCAGGCGTCTGGCTGCAAAGCTTGCTCTCCACTCCCCTGTGTCACCTTCCCCTCGCAGTGCCTGGCGGGATTGCAGCGGAGTCCTTGACCTTTACGCCACTGGAGGACATGATCTTCCTTAAGTGGGAGGAGCCCCAGGAACCCAATGGCCTCATCACTCAGTATGAGGTGAGTTTGGACCTCATTACAGTGGGGAACCCTGGTGGAAGGTGGGCACACAGCTTGGAGAAGAGGTGCATGGGGAGGGACAGTAGTGATCATGGAGGTTCTGTCTACTGGTCAGGGGTCTGTGCCTTGTGTGTTATGGGAACAGGGGCCCTGAAAGAAGAGAGGTGAAGATGCCCAGAGGTCTGGAGTAATGGACATCCACGGTCCCACTGACCCTCTCCCTGGCTAACCTGAACTATGATGGGTGGGAGGCTATGGGGCCCGTGATGACCTTCCCTATTCCTGTGCCCACCTGCCTGCCCATCCTGCCCCCAGATCAGCTACCAGAGCATCGAGTCATCAGACCCTGCAGTGAACGTGCCCGGCCCACGACGTACTATCTCCAAGCTCCGAAATGAGACCTACCACGTCTTCTCCAATCTGCACCCAGGCACCACCTACCTGTTCTCAGTGCGTGCTCGCACAGGCAAAGGCTTTGGCCAGGCGGCACTCACTGAGATCACCACCAACATCTCAGGTGAGCCCACCTGGCCCTGGCCTGATCTCTGTAGAGGTGGCCCAGAATCCCAGGGTTCTCTGGGCTGAGGGGCATGGTAGGGGGAGGGGGTGTCCTGGGGGTGTTTATAGAGGGTCCCCCCCACTGAGATGAATGTACCATTTAGGGATTAAGTTCAGGGGTCAGGGAGGACTGAATCAGAGGGGCCAGGAGACGGCGGAAGCTGAGGACTGAGTTCAGGGGTTGGAAGTCAGGGAAGCTCAGGTCAGAGGGAACAAAGCTAAAGTGGAAGAGATCTGAGCGCAGGAGTCAAGGAGACTAGAGGCCTGACCTTCCTGGGCTAGTGGTCAGGCTTTATGCTGACATCTTGTCCCCTTCCCCAGCCCCCAGCTTCGATTATGCTGACATGCCGTCACCTCTGGGCGAGTCTGAGAATACCATCACTGTTCTGCTGAGGCCGGCACAGGGCCGTGGCGCACCCATCAGGTGGGAAAGCCTCGTTGGAGGGATGGGAGGTCAGGGCTATAGGGAAGAAGCCCTACCTAGGCCAGCTCAGCCTCATCCTGCCTCAGTTTCTCACTCAGGGCTCAGAGTGTCCAGGGGAGGACACTGTTTTCCCAGAAGGTCCTGCCCAGGGAGACACAGCCTCTAGAAGGCTGGGGCAGCCAGCCAAGTGGGGCCATCTCTCTGGAGTGGCCAAGAGCCTGGCTTCTCCACTTTCTTCTCCCCAGAGAAAACTGGGGCTGCCTCTGCTGGAGACAAGATTGCGGACATGCATGTGTCTGTGCATGTGTGCACACGTGTGATAAAGACATGTACCCATATATGTGCCATGTGTGAGTGTGTGTAGGTGAAGGAACGTGAGGGTGTTTGTGGGATGTGTATACATGCCTACTGTCAGCCAGACAGTGTTTGCGACTTTACCTGCACGAGTCAGTTTATCCTCATGGCAGCCTACGGAGGGGACACTGTTTCCCTGATTTTATACATGAGGAAACAGGCTCAGAGGCCTTAAGTACTTTGCCCCCAAGGTCACACAGCTGGAAGGTGAGAGAGTTGGGGTTTGGAACCCAGGTCTGTCTACACAGCCTATACCTTTTCTTGAAACTACAGAGCCTTCCTGCCCTTCTGGCCTCTGCTCCTCCCACAGAGATGTGTGCACTGGAAGGGGGTGATGGCCTGTATTTGGGTGTGGGAAGATCCTGCTGAGCCTCCAAGAAGATAGTGGGTTGCCCATGTGCTCTTGATACCTCGTCTCGTCCTCACTCCCATTCTGTATTTGCTACTGCAAAGCCTGTCCTGGGTTGCTTCCCAGACTCTTAGGGGAGACCTAGGACAAAGTCAGGGTGTTTGAGGGGTACTTTGTATTTCTAGAAGCCTCAGGGACATTGTGCAGCTGAGTCTGGGAGCTGGGAAACCCAGCTTCTCCTTTCCTGATCCTCTTGAGAGATCCTGTGAGCAGGCCCATTTAGTGTTCCTCAGGGATGATGGTGACAGGGTAGAGGTTGTGGGGGAACATGGTGGGGGGATGGCATAGTAGCTTTGTGACCTTGGGCATGTCCCTTTACCTCTCTGAGCCTCCCTTTCCTTTTCTGCATAATGACAACCATCTGAGTCAAGATGCTTTGTTTTGTGTTGATTATTATCACCTCCTGGTGGGATGGGGGGGCCAGGGGAGGCCTGACCTGGGCCTGGGAGGCTGAGAGGGGCCCAGGCTGGCCTTTGCAGTATGCTAGGGACAAGGGAAGAAGCCATGTGGCCCAAATCCTAGGGCACTGGGGTGATTCCCCTATAGCTCCGAAGCTCAAAAGAAGCAGCTGGAGAGCCAGGAAAAGGCATTTCTTCTTCCCAGAATGCAGCTGTCAGTACGGGTGTCACACACCGAGACGTGACCGAGGCTATGACTAGAAATATTTAAATTTGTCAGCACTCACTTATTTACTCTCGGCTTTGTTCCACAGAGGATTTGGAGGAGCTCACAGCAAAAGGCCATTCAATAAACTGAGAAAAATAAATAGAAACAAACACCCAAGTCGGGACCCAGAGACACACATCAGAGGGGAGGCAGACTAAGGAACACAAGTCAGCTGTCAGGACCCGCAGAGGACAGGCTGGGAGTTTCAGACTCGATGCTGCCTCCAGGTTGGGAGCATCCTTGAATGCAGGATGCAGGATTCCTGTGGCCTTGTGTTTTTGCTCGGTGACTGTCTCCGCTCACTGGAGGTTGGTTCCAGGAGCCCAGATCCCCAAGTGCCTGCCTAGCATCGGCCCAGAGTCTGAGCTTGGGCACTTTCTGAATGAATAAATGAACCCCTGGTGTCTTACTCTCATGCCTGGAGGCCCAAAGGAAGCCTTGGGTAACCAGGGCATAGCCCGAGGCTTGGGGGCCCCAGGTCCCATGGCAGGCCCGGGAGAGTCAGGGTGGGGCTCCTGGGCTTGGTGCCACTGAGCAGGGCCCAAGTTCTTTCCGCCCAAGGCACAGTCATAACAGCTGACAGGCACCGGCTGCTTGTGAAACTTGCCCCCTTCCTTACGTTTAGCTCATGGAATAGTCCTGTGATCACGCTCACTTTACAGAGGAGGAAACTGAGCCCCAGGGAAGTTAAGAGAGTTGCCCAGCGAGTAAGAGGCAGAGCCAGGATTAGTCCCAGGCTGGGCCTGACCCCAGAGCCCATGCCCTTGGCTGCCAGATGGCTCTCCCTGTCCCCTGGCCCCGGGATCACTGCTCTGTCCCCTGCTTGTCCAGTGTGTACCAGGTGATTGTGGAGGAGGAGCGCCAGCGGAGGCTGCGTCGGGAGCCAGGCAGCCAGGACTGCTTCCCAGTACCCTTGACCTTTGACGCTGCGCTGGCCCGAGGCCTGGTGCACTACTTCGGGGCGGAGCTGGCGGCCAGCAGTCTGCCAGAAGCCATGCCCTTCACGGTGGGTGACAACCAGACCTATCGAGGCTTCTGGAACCCACCACTTGAGCCCAGGAAGGCCTACCTCATCTACTTCCAGGCAACAAGCCACCTGAAAGGGGTGAGGGACTGGCGGGGGTTGTGATGGGGGCAGACTGGGGACACCTTGGAGCCATCTGAGCAGCCTCCTAGGAGGTCAGAGACCCTCTCCCCAGCCCCACCTCCTCTCCAGAACCCCCACTCTCCTCCCCTGAGCCTCCTGACCTCAGGCTCCTTCTCTTAGAGCTATCCCCTTCCTGAGCCTTTCCGCCTAGACTCTCATATGTTGATCCCCCAGTCTGTCCCTGCACCCCCCGCCCCCCCGCCCCCGCCAGGCCCTAGTCTCTATCTCAGGCTCCTCTCTCCTCCAGGGTCCATCTTCCCAACCTGCTTTCCCCCGACCTTGAGGCCCACCACTCACCTCGTCTGGGAAGCCCTGCTCTCCTCTTGGCTCTTCCTTCCAGGGCTTTCCTCCCCAGGTGCCCCTCTTAACCAGCTTCTTGGCCACCCCCTTCCCATGCTGTTTCTTCCCCTGCTCCCTCTCCCCGAACACATTATTGCCCTCTTTTCAGGGCCCTCCCCTCCTCTCTGGTCCCCCTCAGGCCTTCCTGTCAGGAGGGGGATCTTTAGTTACTATGAGCCCCGGACAAGCCCCAACCAAGCCCAAGGCAAGCTGGGGAGGGTTAGATTGGGCCTTTGGCACTGCTGAGACCCCCATCTTTGCCTACAGGAGACTCGGCTGAATTGCATCCGCATCGCCAGGAAAGGTGAGCCCCTGGGTTCCTTCCTGGCCTTCAGCAGTGGGTTTCTCCCCTCTGGGCTCCTGGGAGGTGGGCCCTGAGCACCCAGAGCTGTGGGAACAGAGGAGGGTGGTCTGGCAGACGTGGGTCAGGAAACATTTCCCTTCCTGGTCCCCACTGGCCCCACCTAAGGGCTCCTTCTCCCAGACTGGGCAGTAGGGCTAACTCCTTCTCCTCTGTCATGGTCACAGAAGTGGCTTTGCGGGGTCCTGGGGCAAGTCTGTGGAGGCGGAGCCATTCTGGTTGGCCCATGGTGATGGCACTGGTTCCTGTGTATGTGCCCCTTCTGTTGTGGTGGGTGAGAGGTGAATCCTATAGTGCAGACAGGGAATATGGTAGGTTCCCCATTCTGAGGTGCCCTAAACAGGCCCTGGGTACCTAACTCTTTCCCCACTTGCTTCTCAGGAGTGCGGGAGGCTGAGTCTAAAGGCCCCAGGCAGCCTCCATCCCCTCTCCACGGAAGGATGCGAAGATTTGAGAAAGAGAGGAGAGGGTCCTGATGGGGGTGCAGATGTTGTAAGGGGGTGCAGACGTTGTAAGGATGGTGAGGGGGCAATCTGCCTGAATGGCTGCATGTGAGCTGAGGGCAGGGGGCAGTCGTCTGCTCACGTGTGTTTATTCTTTGGGGCTCAGACCCCTGCAGGCAGGGGGTAGGTGGTCCCTATCTCCCCTCTGACCCATGTTCCCTTTTATTCCCCCCAGCTGCCTGTAAGGAAAGCAAGCGACCCCTGGAGGTGTCCCAGAGATCGGAGGAGATGGGGCTCATCCTGGGCATCTGTGCGGGGGGACTTGCTGTCCTCATCCTTCTCCTGGGGGCCATCATTATCATCATCCGTAAGGGGTGAGTGAGGCCGGTGCCATGGCTCACCCCCGGCTCCCTCAGAAGCCTGGTGGGCAGAGAGGAGCAGTGGCTGGGGCCTGGGAGGGCAGCTGCCTGGTGAGTGTGGAGGGCTGCCAGCCTGGGCATCAGGCCTGAGGACGGGCCTGAGCCAGGCAACGGGAAGCCAGAGCCGCTGTGAATGAAGCAGCCCTGGAGCGGCTTGGCTGGAGCCCAGGTCTGGCTGGTGCCAGGTGCCACTGTCCAGGGAAGGGTGCTCAGTGCCTGCTGCCAAGGAGCTGTGCTGGAAGTGGCCACTGCCCTCCTGTGCCTGCTGGGCGGTTCCAGAGGGGAGGGTGTGGAGGTAACCTGACTTGAATCTCCAGCCTTCTGCAGACCTTCTGCCAACTTGTCTGCCCTGGCCATGGGGTTGTGGTGTTGATCCTGAGCAGCAGGGGTGGTGCTCACTCCCCTTCAAAGCAAGGACCTTGAGCCGTGGTTCTTCCTGGCTCATCTTGTCCTGGACCTGATACTGTTGACCCTTGTGGTGTCCTCCTGGCCCCATGACTCAGAGGAGACCTCGCTCCTGCCCTCTCCTCCCCTAGGCACCCGAGGTCTGGTGCATTTTGGAGGGATGCCTTTCCTAGCGTGTTTTGCTGTGGGCAGCAGTGAGTCCCAGCACCTCTTAGAATCCAGAACTTAGAATTTCAGAGTTTCAGAAATCCAAGATTTGGGATTCTAAGAATCTCAGAATTTAGAACTGTTAGGGCTCAGAGCCTGGAAGTGAGAACTGCCTAGGAAGTTCAAAAGCATCTAATCTAGTGGTTTTCAAATCTTCTTAAAGCAACAGAACTTGTTTTCAAAACAGCACCTAAACCTCCCCTGGGAGGCCCAGTACACGGAGCAGATGAAGGCTGAGCCTGTGGTTGGAGCAGGGGTGGAGGCTTCTGAGACCTCTCTGGTTCCCCTCCTCTCCTCCCCTTCATTCCCTATCAGGCAGCCCCAGGACACTGTGGTCCAAGCACCTTAATGGAAGGATGGAGATATTGAGCCCCAAGGGGACATAGACTTGTCCAAGGTCACCCAGGGAACCCTCTCCCCACCTGGGCTCTGCACTGCTGCTTCTGGGCTGGTGCTGGATCTCAGGGTTGCCAGGACCAGATAAATAGATCAAGGGGGATGAGGGAGAGCTGATGAGGGCTTCCTTTCCTGAGGCCAGGCACTGGCAGAGAGAGACCCTCCCAGAGAGTCTGGTGATAGGTGTGCCAGTGAGGTGGCATTGGCCTGTCCAGGGCATTGAGCTGATTTTTCCCTTCCCTAGCCACTACACGGCTTCCAGAGATAAAAAAATTTACTATCTGATGAGTATTACTATGTACCAAGGGCTTTACACACACCGTCCACTAGAGCATTAGTTACTGAGCACCTACTCTGTGCCAGGCACTGTTCTGGCACGCGGAATACATCAGAGAACATTTCCTTCTTGAATACTGACCCATGAAGCAGGTCTGAGCTCCTTCTCACAGATGAGGAAACTGTAATTGAACGACTTGACCGTGTCACTCGGGTAAGTGACAGGGCCTGGTTTGAATCCAGTCCTGACTCCAAAACCCGTGCTCCTGAGGGCCTGGGATGTGAAGGGCCTCACTATGGCTGGCGCACAGTAGGTGCCCAGAATTGGCAAGTTCCTGTCCTCCTCCCCTGCGGGAGACCTGGACGTTAGCTCTGGGGGTGGGATGGGGTGGGGTGGGGAGTGGGGCAGATGGTCAGGGCTGTAGGGGAGTCATCAGATTTTGGGGGGTTGCAGGTAGTATTTGAGGCCCTAGAAATCTATCCTTCAAGGAGAGAGGATTGGCTGAGTGGAGGATGTCACCCACTCGGCAGAGAACATTGCGCCCAGGAGAGGATGAGTCAGAGATGCTGCTGGATGGAGCCTCACTCCATCCAGGAAGGAAACCCTGCACTCTACACAGTTGCTACCCCATAAACCCTTCCAGGCTACCCCTGAAGCCCCTGAGATCCCCTCAGGCTCCCTTCCTTTCTTCCTCTAAAAGCCATTCAGTCCCACTGTATCGCACTTCATTGCATCCCCCTAAATCCTATCCTTGCCTTCAGGGCCTACCGTGTTCCTCAGGGCTCCCCCAATCTGCCTTGTGGGTTGTCAGGGGACAGAGCAGGTCTGGCAGAAACAGAGTGGTCACACTGAACTTCATGAACAGGTTACGAGGCTGCGGAGGGAAGGCTGACAGCCAGTCACCACCCTGTGTGTCCTTGTCAGAAGAAGGTGGTGGCCAGGGGCAAGAGTGGGTATGGAAGGCAGTGGGTGGGGAGCCAGGGGGAGGGAGGTCAGGTGCTCCACCCCACCCTGCCCTGGGGGGACAGTGAGCCTGGATGCCTCTGTACTAGGGGAATGCCCCAGGCCAGGTTGGGTCCTTTGTTCTGCTTCCAGAACCCCATGAACTCCATGCTTCTCCTATGCAGTACTTTCTTCTCCCTCCACTTGGTCATTCACTTATTTGTGCTTTGCTCAATTGGTTTTCTTCCCTGCTGGACTGAGAGCACCATGAAGTAGAGAAGTTTCTGTCCTGTTGGCTGTGTATCCCCAGGGTCTGGGCTTGGGGAGTGAGGTCCTCCTGACTCCCCTAGCTCCCAGCTCAGCAGCAGGAAGGAGGCAGGGGGAGCTGGGCGGACAGCAGGGCCCCTTGGGCAGGGTCATTATTAATCTCACTCATTTGGAGGAGGCTATGGATGCTCATAGAGGTGGAGTCCTTTTATTTATTTTTCCTCTTGATTACTCAATTCAATGCAATATTTATTGGGGGATTATAATGTCCTGGGCACTGTCCTAGACCCCTGGATCCAGCAGTAGGCAAGAGAGACAAGGATGCTGGTCTCTTGTGCCTTGTAGCTCATGTGGAGCCTGGAGTTAAACCAGAAACAGTGCAAATGGATAATTACAAATTGTGAAAAGAACAGGGTGCTGGAGTCGGGGTGCAGAGAGAGGGTAAAAGTGACACAATAGAATTGGCAATTATGGGGGAGCCTTTTGGGAGGCCCTTGAAAAGTCATGACATTATAACTGAGACCAGAATGCCTTTCCTTCAGCCATCCCCCTCCTCTTCGGGAAGGCCCCCCATGACCAGCCATGGACCTGCACCTGCCCCACCCTCCTTTCCTGGGATGGCTGTGAGGCCTCCAGGCACTCCCCTGCCCTCTCTGGGCCCCAGCCTTCCACTCTTCTCTCCTCCCCTTCCCCCAGTCTGCAGGATTTCCCTGGTGGAAGGCTGTTCACTGGGGTCCCTGCTGGCAGGGTGGTGTGGGGACAGGTGAATGGAGGAGCCGTGGATGTGTCTGGATGGGACTTCAGGAGGGGGCTGGTTTGGGGGTCAGGGTCCTGTGATCTGCCCTGGGCTGACCATGACTCTCTGGGACTCAGCTTCCCCACCTGCCAAGTGGGATCAGACCCAAGCTATGCTTTGGGTGCCCAGAGGGGGCGGCCTGGCTCCTCTGAAGGACCCCACACTCAGGGGCAGTCTGGGTTGGGGAGAGCGGGCCTCCCCTCTGCCCTGGAGTCCAGCTGGAGCCCTCTCCTCCTGCCCCCTGCCCCCACCCAGGGTCCCTCCCAGGCACAGGTGTATGCAGGGGGCTGAGCCCTCAGGGGCAGAGGGGCCTGCAGGTGTGAGTGACATTGGGCCTGAGGGGTGGGGGGTGTTGGGGAGAGCCCAGTCACCTGTGAGTTCCTGAGGGAGGGTGTCTGTGTGTGAGTGTGCCCATCTGTGCAGCAGTGTGTTTGTGAATACACACCTGTGCCTGTGTCCCGTGAGTGTGTGTCATTGTGTGTGTTCCAGTACGTGTATACAAGTGTCTGCATGTGTGTATGTCTGTGCGGGTGCATGAGTGTGTCAGTGCTGGTCTCTGTATGAGTGAATGCGTATGTATCCACACGAGTGTGTCTGTGTGAGTGTGCAAGCATGCGTATTTCTGTGTCTGTGTGTGTGTGACTGTGAAAGCTCTGCTTCCCCAGGCCCTTTCCCCACCTCCTCCCTCCAGCGGCAGGCTTGGGGAAGGTTCTGGAAGGGGCCTCAGGTCTTGGTTTTCAACGACTGAGCCCAGCCAGCCCTTGGGACAGGGAAGGTCCTTCCAACCCGTCCAGTCCCTGGCCAGCGCTGCCCCAGCACAGCAAGCACCAGGCCCCCCTCTGCTGGCTGGTGCCGCCCTCGGCCCACCTTGTGGCAGGACCAGGGGCCCAACTGTGCTGTTCTCTTTGCACGCTGCCAGGAGGGACCACTATGCCTACTCCTACTACCCGTAAGTAGCTCGGCGCCACCCCCGTGGGCCCGGTGTCCTCCTCCCCGTGTGGAGGGCCTCGCACGGCTCCCTCTCCAGGGTCCACGGTCGTGCACGTGTGTGCGTGTCACAGGCAGGCCCATCCCCACCCTGGCAGCTGTCCCCACGGTGCACACGGCTCTCAGGTCCCCACGAGCCCCCTCTCCAGCCGGGCGGCCTCGGGCTCTTCAGACCCACCTGTCTGGGTGCTTCTCTGTGGGCTCAGGTCTTCGCACAGAATCCTCACGGCCACCCTGAGAAGCAGCCCTGTGATCCCCCCCGCCCCCGTGTTACTGATGAGGAGACCGAGGCCCAAAGAGGTTAAGGGACTCGTCAGAGGTCACACCAAGTGCCAGAGCTCAGTGACCCCCCGGGCCCCGTCTGACTCCCTGGTCTCCTGGTGGTTCTCTGACTCTGCAAGCCTTCCAGAACATTCCCTGTACCTGTGCCTCTTCTCCCTCCGTGCAGAGCAGCCTCAGGTGGCCCCAGAGCAGCCCAGGGGACGGTGGCCTCCCAGCCCCTCCTCCTGGGCCCTCTCATTGCATGGACTTCGCCCAGGGTCCACTGGCTTCTCCAGCGAGCGAACCCCGGGGGCTCGGGGGAGCCTCCAGGGGCCTTTACAGGAACCGCCTCGAGGCGGCCGGCGGCCCTCTCTGCCCGGGCAGCTCCTGTTTGAACCTAAGTGCAGGACATTTCCGAGTGTCTGCGTCACGTTCCGTGTGCTGACTGTCCCCCGAGGCCAGCTGGCGGCCGGCAGAGCTCGGGGTCCCTCTGGCTTCTGGCTCCTGTGGGTCTGGGTGGTTGGTGCTCGGAGCCCCCCCCCCCCCCCCCCCAGGGAACCGAGGGGCCGGGCAGGGACGGAGCCCTCGGGCAGCCCTGGAGCCTGCCTCCCGGCCGCCTGGCTGCTGTGCTCTGTCCTCGGGCCTCTGTCTGTCCTCCAGGTGGTTTGCTGGTGTTTGCCTGTCCCTCCCTCGCTCTGTCCCCTTCCCTGTCTCTCTCCTCCTCGTTGTCCCTTACTGTCCCTCCCCCTCCCCCTCCTCCTCCTCTCAGCCTCCTGATTCCCTTGTCCCCTCCTCACCCCCCCTCCCCATCCCCCCTTCCCCCTCCACCTTCTCTCTAATGTCCACTGTCAAGGTCACAGCTGCAGAGGCTTCTCTTCACCTGCCCACCAAGGGGTCCTGGGCTCTGCCCTGGGCCACAGTGAGGGTGATGCCCAGAGCCTGGTGGTTAGGGCATCCATCCAGTCTTCCCCTACCCCAGACAGCTCTTGAGCAGGGATAGATTGATTAGAGTTTGCCTATCTGGAAAGATCCCTTCCTTGGCCTCTTTATCTCCACTGATGGTCAAGATTCTTGAGCCCTCTTAACCCAGAAGTCGTCTCTCGAGTATACCCCTCATCCTGCATGCTGTAGGGCCCGGCAGGGTGAATGGCTATCTCATCTTAAGCCTTCCCTGTGATTGGGCCTCTGGCTCCACAGGTCTCAAGACGGGTCTCAAGACATGTCCCAAGTTACTTGCTCTTTCCCTTTTGCTCAGCTCCTTGGGCATGGAGCTGTGCCCCCTGTGCTTCCCCCCCTTCCCTTGGAGTCCTGTGGGGTCACAAACTGCCATCCTCATCTGTAAAACTGGGCTGGAGGCCTGGGCTGTGCAGGGCCTTGTGCTAGGGGCGTCTTCCCGGGCCTCTTCCCAGTCCTTTCAGGAGGGACCCGGCCTCTTGCCTTCTCCCTCTGCTGCTTCCAGTGGCTGCATGGACAGGAGGGCGGTGGCAGGAATATGGAGCCTGTGTGGATCTCTTTACATGCTCTTATGTGGCCTGTGGTGGGACCATCCTGGGGGTTCTGGGTATAGAAAAACCAGTTGGAGTTCATTCCCTGCCCAGAGGAAGAGTCCTGAGCACTGGCTAAGCAGCGGCCAGACTCTCTGCCATGAAGGGGGAGCATAGTCCACCCCCATGTGGGGTTCTCAGGGCACATGTTTGATGAGGATGGCAGAAAGGAGGAGGGATCTGGGGGCGTGCTGGGGCTGGAGCTGGGGCAGTCATCTTCCTAGTTTGGATGGGGTGACTGCTGTGACACCAAAATAGTCCCAGAGTGACTACCCTTCCCATTTCCTGAGCCCTCCAGGCCAGTGACAGGAGCCAGGTCCCAGCCTGATGCCACTGCTGCTCCATCCCTTGTTCTCAGCAGAGGTCCCCAGGGTCTCTGCCCAGTCCCTCGTAGGGGTTAGGATGGGCAGCTGAGCAGAGCCCTCTGGTGAGCAGAGCCCTCTCAGTATTCAGAGATGATTCTAGAATGCCACCTAGCCTCAAGGCCCCCTGACTGTGGGGCCTCCCCATCCACCTCTAGGTGTTGTCCTGCCCAGCTCAGCACCCATGGCTCTTGTCAACCCCTCTCTGCAGGAAACCTGTGAACATGACCAAGGCCACTGTCAACTACCGCCAGGAGAAGACCCACATGATGAGTGCCGTGGACCGGAGCTTCACGGACCAGAGCACCCTGCAGGAGGACGAGCGGCTGGGCCTCTCCTTCATGGACACCCATGGCTATAGCCCCCGAGGTGAGTGCCTGACCCTCCTGCTCTTCCCCGTGGCTGTGGGATTCCATGCCTGAGCCAGTAGTACCGAGCCCCTCTGATGAGTTCTGTTAACACCTCACCCCAAATGAAGCATCTGTTGTGCTCCTGCTGGGTACCAGTCCTGGTGCTGGCAATGCAGAGGAGGCACGGGTATTACTTTTGCATTGGAGGAGCTTTAGGAAAATGGAGGACTAGACTCACAGGGGAGGAATACAAGGTCATATGCTGATTGTGGAAAGTGCTCTGGGGACTGAGAGAAAGGAGTGGTACTGTGTGATCAGAGGGAGCTAGAGCAGTCTTGAGCCTGTTGAGCACCTGCTGCGGGAGAGGCAGGGGACCAGTGGTTAAGAAAGATTGCTCTGGAGTCAGACAGACCTGGGGAGCTCACATCCCCTTGGCTGTGTGACCTGGGGCAAGCTGCTCAACCTCTCTGGATGTCTGCTTCCTCATGTACAAAACGGGGCTAAAGATCACCTCTGCCAGTAGGTCTGCTGGAACACTGAGTTGGCTATTACATCATCTAGTTAGTGCTGGGCCCAGCATGCAGGCAGGATATGGTGTGAATTAGTACCTCCTCACACATCTTTTTATTTTATTTAGTGTTGATTTGTACAAAAGAAAATATCTAACGTTTGTGGAAGTCACGCAGTGATAATACAACAAATACCGGTGAATTAAGACATCTTCTGGGTGTCCCTCCCTAAGGATATGCCCTCTATTCTTCTTAGACATAAACACCCCCCTGAAATTTGTTATTTCAAATTAGACAAATTTAATTTGTCTGTTATTTCCTTACCTTTTGGGGAGTAGGTTTACCATGGTACATGCATCCCCAGTGTATTATATAGCTTTGCTCGTTTTGGGGCTTTGTAAAAATGCAGTCACACTATTTCTCAGCTCAGCATTGTGTTTCTCCTATTTGCCCAGGTGGAGGTTTCACTGTGTGTTTTTTTTTTTGTTTTCTCTGATGTATAGTTTTCCATTATGTGAATGTATCGCACTTTATATCTCCCTTCCTCCATTCCTCCATCCAGTGACATCTCATTTGCTTCCAGTTTTCTTGTTATTACAAATGAGGCTGCTCTGAATGTTCTTAAGTGGATCTCCAGATGCACCTGCAATAGGACATATGCGAAGCAGCCAGCAGGAGTGTGTGCTGGCTCCCCTCTGGAAGATGGAACCGAGCTGTGTCCCAGAGTGGCTTCGCCTGTGCTCACGGCCGGCAGCAGCGACACAGAGCTTCTGCTGCTCTGCGGCAAGCTCAGAATTTGCCAGGCTTCTTCCCTTTTGCCAAACTAGTTTGTATAAAATGGTGATTCTCTATAGTCTTAATTTGCATTTCTCTGATTACTAATGAGGTTGAGTATAGTTTCAAATCATTATTGGCCATTCAGCTTTCTTTTTTCCTGAAATGCCTGTTCATGCCTTTTACCTAATTTTCTATTAGGTTTTCTGTTGCTTTCTTAGTGGTTCTTAGGAGTTCTTTATATATTTAGGATGATAATCACTTTTCACTGATGAATTGCAAATATCTTCTCTCAATTTGTGGCTCATCTTCGCAGGTTATTTATAGTGTCTTTGGAGGAACACGTTTTTATTTTAATTTAGTTGAGTTCATCAGTCTTTTACTTTTTGATTTCTACTTTTTGTGTTTCCTTCAAGAATGCTTCCTTTGCAGGGTCATAAAATATTTTTTACTTTTTTCCAAACCTTTTTATATTTTTGCATTGCACATTTCAATCTTTATCCATCTGTGATTGATTTTTGTGTGTCATAGGAATGAAGGATTTTCTTTTTTTATATTTTCTTTTATTTATTTAATTTTTTTCTGTAGCAACTCATGTCCTAGCTTCTGTTATACTTTGTACTTTTTTCTTTTTTTAAAAGATTAAAATTTTTTTAAGATTAAAATTTTTAAAATATATATATATATATATATTTATTTATTTATTTATGATAGTCACACACACAGAGAGAGAGGCAGAGACATAGGCAGAGGGAGAAGCAGGCTCCATGCACCAGAAGCCCGATATGGAATTCGATCCGGGGTCTCCAGGATCGCGCCCTGGGCCAAAGGCAGGCGCCAAACCGCTGTGCCACCCAGGGATCCCAAGATTAAAATTTTTAAAAAATTTATTCATGATAGAATGAGAGAGAGAGAGAGAGAGAGGCAGAGACACAGGCAGAGGGAGAAGCAGGCTCCATGCCAGGAGCCGGATGCGGGACTCGATCCCGGGACTCCAGGATCACGCCCTGGGCCAAAGGCAGGTGCTGAATTGCTGAGCCACCCAAGGATCCCCCTTTTACGAGATTTTATTTATTCATGAGAGACAGAGAAAGAGAGGCAGAGACATAGGCAGAGAGAGAAGCAGGCTCCCCATGAGGAGCCTGATTCAGGACTCAATCCCAGGACCCCAGGATCATGCCCTGAGCCAAAGGCAGATGCTCAACCACTGAGCCACCCAGGTGCCCCTATACTTTGTACTTTCATCATTCGTTGTGGAGCCACTCTCTTCAGAGACCATGCTTCTGTATGTTGGTAGGTTGTTTTTTGGCTCCTCATTCTCTTTGATGGGCTGATTTGGTCATTTGTGTGTCTGTTGATACCTCATTGCCTCATTGCTAGAGTTCTCTAAGTCTTGGTGTCTGAGACATCGCATTCTCCCGGCTTTGCTCCTCATCAGGGATGTCTTGGCTATTATTTGTCCTCATTCTCTTTCTCTTATGTTTTATTGATTGATTGATTGTGTACAAGCAGGGTGGCAGAGAGGCAGATGGAGAGGGAAAGAGAGAATCTCAAGCAGGCTCCATGCTTGGTGGAAGCCTGATGTGGGGCTTGATCTCACAACCCTGAGATCACGACCAGAGCCGAAATCAAGAGTTGGATGCTGAACCGATTGAACCACCCACGCTTCCCTCTTTCTCATACATTTTAGAATCATCTTTTCAAGTTACTTGGAAAACTTTGTTGGGTGGATTTGTATCAAATGTTTGGATCAATCTGGGGAGAACTGAGATCAATCTGGGGAGAACTGACATCTGAAATTGTGCATCCAAGAAGGGGATATATATCACCCTATATATTTAGGTCTTGAGTGTCTTTCAGTGATTTTCTCCATAAAATTCTGCACCTCTTTTGTTAGATGTACCCTCAGGTCCCTTGTATTTTTGATTTCCATTGCAAATCGTACATTGTGTGGGTGTGTGCAGTAAAATACAACTAACGTGGAATTTACCATCTTAACTGTTCTTAAGTGTGGGGTTTGGTGGTATTAAACACATGCATAATGTGCAGCCATCACCATTATCCAGCCCCCTAGCTCTGTTCATCTTGTGAAACTGAAACTCTGTTCCCATGAAGCGGTAACTCCCCATTCCTGCCTCTTCCCAGCCCCCAGCAACCACCATTCTACTTGCCGTGTCTGTGAATTTGACTACTCTAATTATCTCATATACGTGGAATCATAGAGCATTTGTCTTTTTTGTGACTGGCTTATGTCACTTAGCTGAATGTTTTCAAGCTTCTTTCATCATGTAGCATTTTTCAAAATTTTTTTCCTTCTTAAGGCTAATGAATATTCTGTGGCATGTATGTACCATATTTTGCTTATTCATTCATCCACCCATGGACATGTAGATTGCTTCCATTTTTTAGCTCTTGTGAAGAATGCTGCTGTGAACATAAGTATAACATGTATCTTTTTGAGACCCTAATTCAATTCTTTTGGGTACACAGCCAGAAGTAGAATTGCTGGATCATATGGTAATTCTATTTTTAATTTTTTGAGCAACCACCGTACAGATTTCCAATGGCCGTGCTGTCTGGCATACCCTCCAGCAGTGCACAGGGGCTCCAGTTTCTCCACATCCTTGTAATTCAGGTTATTTTCTGGGTTTTTGTTTTTGTTTTTGATAGTAGCCATTCCAGTGGTTGTTGAAGTGGTATCTCACTGAAGTTTTGCTCTGCATTTCTCTAATGAGTGCTGTCACCTTGAGCATGTGCCATTTGTGTGTCTTCTTTAGAGAAATATCTCTTTCAGCCCTTTGCACATTTTTGATTTGGGTTTTTTTATTTCTTTGTTGTAGAGTTTTAAGAGTTCTCTCTGTATTTTAGATATTAATCCCTTAGCAGATATATGCTTTGTACACATTTTCTCCTCTTCTCAGATTGGCTTTTTACTCTGTAGACTGTGTCTTTCGTTGCACAAAATTGTAAAAATTTTCATGAGGTCCAGTTTGTCCATTTTTCTCTCTTGTTGCCTATGCTTTTGGTGTCATAGCCAAGAAATCATTGTCAAATCCATTGTTATGAAGCTTTTGTCCTCTGTTTTCTTCTAAGAGTTTAAAAAAATTATCCTTTAAAAACAATTATTATGATTATGATTATTTTGGAGAAACAAAGAGCATGTGAGTGGGGGTGGAGGAGGGGCAGTATCTGGAGAGGGAATCTCAAGCAGGATCTATGCTCAGTATAAAGCCCAATGTGGGGTTTGATCTCATGATTCTGAGATCATGACATGAGCCAAAGTCAAGAGTCAGATGGGCACTCAACCAACAGAGCCACCCAGGTGTCCCTCTTCTAAGAGTTTTATAGTGTTGGGCCTTACATTGAGGTCTTTGATATAGTTTGAGTTAATTTCTGTATATAGTGTGAGGTAATGGTCCAAATCCATTTTTTTTTTCACGTGGATGTCCAGTTTTCCCAAGATAAATGGTACACTTTTAAAATATTGCATTTCTAATGGCTGCCCATATAGAGAAATATAGTTGATTTTTAATATATATATGTGTGTATATATATATAAAACATATCCATGGTCCTTGATAACCTTATTTATTAATTTTCATTTGTAGAATCTTTCAGGTTTTCTGAGTATGATCAAAGGGTCTGTAAATACAGACAATTTTGTTTCTTCTGTCTCATTTCCTTTCCTTTTGTCCCTTGTCTTTCTGCATGGCACTGTCTGGGACCTTCAGCATTG